ACCCAATCATGTGCAAGGAAAAAAAGGCAAAAAACAGCATTTTTGCTTGCACATGATTGGAGGAAGGAAGAAAGCAGAGCTTCTGCTCATTTACTAAGTTTTGGAGCAACTGGTCTTGCAAAGTGCAACTGCACATTTCAAAGTGCGTAGTCTATTTGCCTTTAGTAAATCAATCCCTAAGTGTTTGCCATATAGTCCCCCAAAACGTGCTTAACCCCTTGACGCTGACGTAACACAAATATGAGGTCCCCCAGAACGGCTTTTTTTTCTGTGGGGGCCGCATATATGCGTACCTGTCTTTGTGCTGGGAGCGCGCCGCACAGCGCACTCCCATCACAAAGAGCGGGGTGTCACTGAGAGCATCGGGTCCCATTCTAACGATCGGGACTCAGGACTCCCAATTCCGGTTCCGGCTCTGGTTGGCTATCACAGTGATCAGTCACTGTGCAGCCCGGCCCCCTTGTTTTTTTTCTCTCTCTCTATGAATGGAGGAGAGAGATACATTGTATCATTATATACATTCCATTATACATTGTATCATTATATACATTCCATTATACATTGTATCATTATATACATTCCATTATACATTGTATCATTATATACATTCCATTATACATTGTATCATTATATACATTACATTATACATTGTATCATTATATACATTCCATTATACATTGTATCATTATATACATTCCATTATACATTGTATCATTATATACACATTACATTATACATTGTATCATTATATACACATTCCATTATACATTGTATCATTATATACATTCCATTATACATTGTATCATTATATACATTCCATTATACATTGTATCATTATACACATTCCATTATACATTGTATCTCTCTAACTCCTGGCATAGAGGGAAAAAAATGTTTGAAAATAAAATAAAGAAAGAAATATTAAAAAATAAAATAGAAAATAAAGAAAAAATACCTAGATCAAGGTTTGATCTAGTTCAGTGCCAAGGTTAGTGTTTGGTTCAGGGTCAAGAGGTCAGGATTTAAAAAAAATAAATTGGTGTCAGTGTGTTTTAGGTAAAAAAAAAAAAAGACAAAAGCAAAATGCGTACTATTGTTTCTGGACTGCACTACAGGTACAAACAACAAATAACATACACATATATATTATCGCTGCGATCGTCAAGAGCTGGAGAATTTATTTTGGGTTGTTCTTTGGTGGTAGGTTATGGTAGTAACAAGAAATACACTGCTAAATAAATAAAAATATATTTTTAATTATTTTGGGACAGTTTTCCTTTGATAATAAAAAAAAAAATCAGGAGATATCCATTACCATTTACCAACTAATGAAAGCCCAATTTGTCCTGAAAAAAACGCGGTAAAATCCACCTGGATGTACAAAGTAGATGACCTGTACGGTTTTACTAACATATGTCAACGTTTCAAAATTGTGCTTAGGCATTTACATTTGTTTTACACTTAGGCTTGAAGGGGTTAATGCTGCCTCATCTTGCCAATTCCTGCTGAAACCCGCTGCAGCCAGCATTTCCAAAGTGGAGCTCTAAGGGGGATAAAGAAAGATATTCAAAGCTTTGTAATTGTGTGACAAGTGCTGCCCACATGTGACCTTCAGATCAGCATTTTCAGGATGAGATAAGGAAAATCCCTGTGTTTTCTTTGCTTGTTTATGATCCGTTCACACAGCACATGGACAAACAACATTGTTTTTGGGGCTTTTTATGTTTTACTAGCTATACTGTCTTGGTTTTCTATCAGTCTGTACAACAGAAATGTAATAAATTCCTCCATATACAATAAATAGAATGGATGGAGGAATTCCCCCTGCTGGCTATTGTTTTCAGACAGCTGTCAGTAGCTTTCTGAATAGCTAAGCAGTGGCTGCATCCAATTGGTTGCAGTGTTCAGCTAAAAAATGTCCTTCAATTTTTCCTGCAAAGTTTGTCAATCTGGTTGTAGCCGACAGGGCCAACTACAACTCGAATTTCAGCGGACGCGGCAGGAATTGACCAAAATTTGAGCCGTGTATGGCCAGATTAATGGGTATTCAATGCCTCCGTGCCTTTAGTTCCAGGTTCAATTGAAGCAGGTAAAGCTGGCCATACACGGCTGGTGTTGCAGCCAATTCCAGTTGGAGCTGTAGCTGGTCCTGTTGGCACCACAGGGCTTGACAAACTTTGAATGAAAAATTAAAACTGCGATTGCGTACCAACTAATCTGTACAGTGTTGGGAAAGAGTATCCCTAAAAACCCTTAGGAGGCCCTGTTGAACCTCAAACCCTCATGTTGCCCATTTAAAAAAGAAGTGCAGTATTGGGGGAAAACAAAATTATACTCACCTAGGTGGATGCAGCATTGATCTGATGCTGCATCTGTCCCCCACCATCTGTACATCGAGAACCAAGCAATCAAACATCACTCAGTTCTTGGTCTTTAGTGAGCAGAGCCAGTGACTATCAACCACTGGCTCTCTGCTCCGCCCTTCCAGTGATAACTGGAGTGCTGGACTGTGGAGGGTGCTGAAAAGCTGAGCCATTTGCCAGATAGGTATTTGAGCGGATCACAGCATTATTGTCGGGATCCCTGCAGAGCCTGGACCGGCTCTGTGATGTGGACTTTAGCCTGCTGTTGGCTGAATCTGAGTCAGAACTAAGTGCATTCCTGTGATCTATAGGAAAAGTATGGCCAAAAAAAACCTTTTGCCATACTTCTGCCTTAAAAACTGTTATTGTATATTTTTACTGGCATCAAGCAAACCTTAGCAAGAATATGGAAATTTGGGATTCCAGCAATTATGCACGTGAAACTAAAAAATAGAATGGTACATTTTCAGTGAGAAATTGGCAGTTATTCTACATGATATATGTAAACAATAAAAAAAATGGCACCTTTGGACATCCATATATTTAGGGAGAGACTTTGAAGACTCAAGCTGGTCACTTTAGTCTGTTACTTACCAGTGAGAGGAGGAATCTCCTCCAGATGGGGGCTTGTCCGGGATCATCTCTGGCCCATACTTTTCCCTTTCCCCTTCTTTGTTATACCTTGTTCAAAAGCAAAATGTTCTCTCCTTTTCCTTTTCTTTCTATTCTTTTTTTTCTGTCTTGTTTCTGTCTCCTCTCCTTACAATTTTTAGCACAATATTTGTACTCGCAGTTGGTGCATTTCTGTTACCATTATTTTGAGTATGTAAGCTTCCTTTGTAACTGTGTGTGGTTCTATAAAGTCATACACGCCTTTGGGGAATGCATTCTATTGTTGTTTCTCTTACCTGGGGGCCTGGTATGAGCCTACTTTGTAAGGGCACCAAGTATAGTCAATTGACCCTAAGCGGCCAATTTTTACATCTTGGACCATACATATTTTTTCGTGCTGTATTTTACTTCTCATCCCCATGTCACAATTATATTATAACAAGTATTCCTGTGGGACAAAACGCTAGGGATGCACCGAAATTCCGTGGTTGAAATGTTTCGGCCGAAAACACCCCTTTTGGCTGTCGACCGAAATTAATTAAAAAGCACCGATACAGGTGCTGAAAAAATCCCGCCCCTCAAAGCCGCCCGTCCCACCATCGTCTACCCGCCGGCCGCCGCTCGGTAGTTCAGTCTTACCTGAGAAACCATCGATCCTGGCACTGGGCATAGAGATGAGTGAAGGAAAGATGGCCGCCACACATCTCTATGCCCTTGGAGGACCGGAGCGATTTCACTTCTGGTTCTGGCCATTTTTTTTTTTTTTTTTTTTAAAGCACTAGATCAATGCTTTTTTTTTATCTAATGCTTTACATTGTAGAGGAGAGAAGTGGGGGTCTTATTGACCCCATATCTCTCCATAAAGAGGACCTGTCACTAATTATTTCTATCACAAGGGATGCATGCATTAAAAGGAACAGTGCAAAAAAAAAAACCCCATTAAAAAAAAATGTTTTAAAAAAAAGTTTAACGTGCCCCTGTCCCCCCGAGCTCGTATGTAGTGGTGAACGCATACGTAGGCCATGCCCACATATGTAAATGGTGTTCAAACCACACGTGAGGTATCACCATGAACGTCAGAGCAAGAGCAATAATTCTCGCACCAGGCCTCCTCTGGAACTTTACACTGCTAACATGTAGACATTTTTAAAGCATCACCCATGGAGATTTTTAAGTACCGCAGTTTCACGCCATTCCACCAGCGTGCACTATTTTAAAGCGTGACATGTTTGGTATCTATTTACTTGCCGTAACATCCTCTTACATATTTTACAAAACAATTGGAGTATATTTTTTTTTTTTTAATCAAAGTGTATTTTTTTTTTTTTTTAAAATATATATTCATTTTTAAAAACTGCGGATTTCAGTTTTCGGCCAAGTGCATTTTAAATTTTCGGCACCAGAATTTTAATTTAACAAAACACTTTCTTTATGTTTATAACTGATTTTTTTTTTTTTTTTTGTTAACTAACTTCAATAAAAATGTATTGAAACAGAAAAACTGAGACATCTAAGTTGAAAATTGTCAGCCAAACAGTGACTGCAGCCAGTCAGATGCAGTCACTGTTTGGGTATTCAGACAACCATGGCTTTCAGCTGTCGGAATAAAATAGCCGCAATGGAGATCTTTCCATCCATTCTCTTTAATGTGGATGGAGAAATCTATGAGTGTATAGCTAACTTCAGGCTCTGTGCAGCCGAGAGAATGGTGCATTGCATCCTGCCAAGCAGCATAGACACTACATAAGCAGACACTTTAGGATACGTGTCCTGTTTACGTTTGTCGGATTGCATTGTCGAGAACCCTTCTAAATGACCACTGTGCTGCTCCACAGGGGTGATGAACACTGCTTGTCGTATCTGGACTCTCCACTTCAATCAGAAGTAGCTGCAGCTGTTAGCGTTGGAGATTTCATATCCTTGGAGAGTCCAGTATATTAGTGAAGTGCTCTCCATAACTCCAAAAAAACCACATGAACTGCAGTTATATCTTGCTCTGTATTGATCTTCTCTTTCTTTTTGCAGCCCAAGTGGGGAAGACATCTCTGATTATGGCTCTGGTGGGAGAGGAATTCCCTGATGAGGTTCGTGTTTTGCAGTCCATGTTTGCTTTTGCTGAGGATTCTGGGAATTGCCTGGCTGCCAGCATGCTGTTTACACCGTGCATCTGACCTATTTATTCTAGAATAACAAGACTTTTTACTGATACTTCTTGACTGTATTTGACTAAAGAGATTGTAAAGTCTATTTTTTTTTTTACATTAATAAACATTGTATACCGTATTTTTCGCCGTATAAGACGCACCTAGGTTTTAGAGGCAGAAAATAGGAAAAAAAAAAATTCTGAACTAATGGACTGCAGACACAGTACAGGAGATGACCAGAGACTGCGGACAGCACAGGGATGACCAGAGACTGCAAACAGCACAGGGATGACCAGAGACTGCGGACAGCACAGGGATGACCAGAGACTGCGGACAGCACAGGGATGACCAGAGACTGCGGACAGCACAGGGATGACCAGAGACTGCGGACAGCACAGGGATGACCAGAGACTGCAAACAGCACAGGGATGACCAGAGACTGCGGACAGCACAGGGATGACCAGAGACTGCGGACAGCACAGGGATGACCAGAGACTGCGGACAGCACAGGGATGACCAGAGACTGCGGACAGTACAGATGACTGCTGACCTTTGGGGAGGTGGGGAGCGGGTACCTGAATTTGACAGGTACCCGCTCTTCCGCAGAGTTTTTGTTTGATCTTACCTGTTCCTCGATCCAGCCGCACGCTGTCTTCCCGGTTTCTGTAATGGCGCTCGGCATGACAGCTGGGTGCCCAGTGCGCATGAGCGAGAAGCACTTGCGCTTTGCGATTGGTCCGGCGGCTTCTGGGATCTGTCATGTGTCCCAGGTACCGCCTTACCATTCACAAAAAGCACCGCTTCTTGCGCATGCGCACTGGGCACCCGGCTGTCATGCCCAGTGCCCACACTACAGAAGCCGGGAAGACAGCACGCCGCTGGATAGAGGAACAGGTAAGGTCCCGCTGCAGAGCTGAGCGGCCGGCCCGATATTCTGACACGGCCGCGAAATACCGGACCGGCCGCTCCATATTCGCCTTATAAGACGCACTGACAGTTCCCCCCCCAGTTTTTGGGGAAGAAAAAGTGTGTCTTATACGGCAAAAAATACGGTACTTACCTGTTCTGTGCAATGGTATTGCACTCCTTCTCTGGGGTCCCCCGCCAGTGCTGTCAGCTCCTCCTGTTCTCTGTGTGCCACCATAGGAAGCAGCTTCCTATGGGGGCGCACTTGCAGGCTCGCTTCTGATCCAGGCTGTGTGTGTCCATTGACGTAAAAAGCACAGCTTAGCCCCATGCTCACTCTCTACTCACCAGGATTCTATTGAGAGCAGCAGGAGTAAAGTATTTTGGGGTGGGGAGTTACAAATCTTGGGACATTTTTTACTGTATTGCAGGGAATACAATAAGGTAAAAAAAAGTATCCTTTACAACCCGCTTTTTTAAAATTTAGAAACAAGCTTGTTGTGGATGTTGGCTTTGTTGTCTCTCCCATTTATTTCATATTGTACCACCCATGTAATATCCCATGTAATTACAAAATCCTAAATATGTGTTGTAGGTTCCAGCTCGAGCGGAGGAAATCACCATACCAGCTGATGTGACCCCAGAAAAAGTGCCAACACACATTGTGGACTTTTCAGGTATAATAAAGATAATCAATACTGTGGAAGCTGTGCAATGAGTGGGCAACAGACTAGCCATCAGTGCGGCCTGTGGTCTCCTGCAGCTGATCTTTTTCCAACATAGACATTCCGTTCCTTTTGCTGCATGGTGTGGAGTTCATCATCCTGGTAGGGAAAGGGCTTTGCTTCCTCATGCCAGAGCTACCTCTCTGATGACTGGTGGGAGCTATAAGAAGCTGTATCCAGTGTAGAAATCACAGACTACAGAATGCATTTAACATAAGCAGGGAGATCCTTTCACTGCAGGTACAGATTCCTCTCCAACAAAGAGAAGCTGCTTTTTATGTAACTTCTTCATACTGAAAGATGGGTTGCAGTGCTTTGCAGAAACATGCAGACATTTTCCCAGAAACACACCGGAACTCGCCTGACCAGTCACTGAACTGTCACTCTGTTGCAGTAGATAGACGCGAATGAAACGTCATTTCCATAAAGGTTAAAAAAAAAAAAGTACACACAATACATTGCATTGTAAAAAACAAGGCAATGCCCTCCACTGCCGGCACACAGCAGACACCAGCCAACATTGATAAAATGAATTGTTTTAGCATGTGGCTAGTATGAATGTCGGTTAGCTGCTTTTTTTTTTTTCTTTCTTTCTTCTTCTTTTCTTTTTATGAATAGTGCTAACTGTCTTCTTCCTTTGCCTGTAGAAGTGGAACAGACAGAAGATGAGCTCAGGGATGAGATTGCAAAGGTGAGTAAAAAGCAATCCAATTTTACTAACAAAAGTAAGTTTCAATGCATGCAATGTTATATTTCACTTGCTGGGGGAATCTCCTAGTTTAGTAAGTAGGCCGACTGAATCAGGCACAGCCCGAGTTTATAGGACTGCCACAGTGCAAAGTCTTCTCTTTACAAATGGTGCGGTGCATAGCCACCTGTCGGTGTTGGGGGGGATATTTGCCATGGGATCCGGGACATGCATGGTCTGTTTGCTGAGCACCCCAATTTAAATAGTTATTCTTTATTATTTTCTGTCTCTCTCTGTTTTTATCTCTCTTCTCCTCTCCTGTCACTTTTCATTTTCTTTTCTCCCTCTGTATGCTTCTGACTCCTTTTTCCTGTTCTATTTATTTTCTTTCTTTATTGTCTCTCTCTCTCTCTCGCTTTCTCACTCGCTCTCTCGCTTTTTCTCTCGCTTTTTCTCTCTCCGCTTTTTTTTCCCTCGCTCACGCTTTTTCTCGCTCGCTCGCTCTCGCTTTTTCCCTCTCTCGCTTTTTCCCTCTCTCGCTTTTTCCCTCTCTCGCTTTTTCCCTCTCTCGCTTTTTCCCTCTCTCGCTTTTTCCCTCTCTCGCTTTTTCCCTCTCTCGCTTTTTCCCTCTCTCGCTTTTTCCCTCTCTCGCTTTTTCCCTCTCGCGCTTTTTCCCTCTCGCTTTTTCTCTCTCGCTTTTTCTCTCTCTCTCGCTTTTTCTCTCTCTCGCTTTCTCTCCCTCTCTCGCTTTTTCTCTCTCTTTCTCTCGCCCTTTCTCTCCCTCTCGCTTTTTCTCTCTCTCTCGCTTTTTCTCTCTCTCGCTTTCTCTCCCTCTCTCGCTTTTTCTCTCTTTCTCTCGCCCTTTCTCTCCCTCTCTCGCTTTTTCTCTCTTTCTCTCGCCCTTTCTCTCCCTCTCTCGCTTTTTCTCTCTTTCTCTCGCCCTTTCTCTCCCTCTCTCGCTTTTTTCTCTCTCTCTCTCGCTTTTTTCTCTCTCTCTCGCTTTTTCTCTCGCGCGCTTTTTCTCTCTCTCTCGCGCTTTTTCTCTCTCTCGCGCTTTTTCTATCTCTCGCGCTTTTTCTATCTCTCGCCCGCTTTTTCTATCTCTCGCCCGCTTTTTCTCTCTCTCGCCCGCTTTTTCTCTCTCTCGCCCCCTTTTTCTCTCTCTCGCCCGCTTTTTCTCTCTCGCCCGCTTTTTCTCTCTCGCCCGCTTTTTTCTCTCTCGCCCGCTTTTTCTCTCTCGCCCCGCTTTTTCTCTCTCCCCCCCGCTTTTTCTCTCTCCCTCGCCTTTTCTCTCTCTCGCCTTCTTTTCTCTCTCTCTCTCTCGCCTTTTCTCTCTCTCTCTCTCTCTCGCCTTTTCTCTCTCTCTCTCTCTCGCCTTTTCTCTCTCTCTCTCTCGCCTTTTCTCTCTCTCTCTCGCCCTTTCTCTCTCTCTCTCGCCCTTTCTCTCTCTCTCTCTCGCCCTTTCTCTCTCTCTCGCCCTTTCTCTCTCTCTCTCTCTCTCGCCCTTTCTCTCTCTCTCGCCCTTTTTCTCTCTCTCGCCCTTTCTCTCTCTCTCGCCCTTTCTCTCTCTCTCGCCCTTTCTCTCTCTCTCGCCCTTTCTCTCTCTCTCGCCCTTTCTCTCGCTCTCGCTTTCTCTCGCGCTTTTTCTCTCTCGCCTTCTCTCTCTTTCTCTTTCTTTCTCGCTCTCTCGCTTTTTCGCTCTCTCGCGCTTTTTCTCTCTCGCTCGCTTTTTCTCTCTCTCTCTTTATATTCTGTCCTGGTTTCTTCACTTATCTTTTATCAAGCTCCTCTTTTAACTTACCACCTCATTAACCTGAAGTTCTTTCTCTTGGCAGGCGAACGTTGTCTGCGTTGTTTATGATGTCACAGATTTACATACCATTGAGAAGGTAAGAACTTTTTGTTAATAATACATATAAAGTCAATGAATGCTATGGTACAGTACAATTCTTTGGGGCGTTTATACCAGTTACTCCACTAATGTTCCAACCACACACACAAACTCTATGGCCTACCTAATCAGAAGCAAGCTAACTTTCCAGTGCTATTTTGGGGTATGAAAATACGTCCTGGGTCTGGCAGTGAACTGGAAATCTTGCCTTCCCTTTGGCATCCGACCCAGTGTGTTTATTACCTTGTAGGATGACAAGAGATAATAAAAAAATATTTGACTTGATAGTGACGTTGGGGTTTAAGAGATCCCAAGTTTCAGGTTCATGGTGCCTGCTGTTTGTACACTAAGGTTTGTTTACTAAAGCTGGAGAGTGCAAAATCCGGCTCACTTCTGCATTGAAACCAATCAGCTTCTAACCTCAGCTTGTTCAATTAAGCTTTGGCAATAAAACCGGGAAGCTGACTGGTTTCTATGCAGAAGTGAGCCTAATTTTGCACTCTCGAGTGTTAGTAAATAAACCCAATTGTGATCCAATGTGTACATCTAACAACCCTCTAAAGGGAACCTGTAATTTGACCATAGCAGGTAAAATAACAGGTTCACTTCATAGCAGTGACATTAAGTATCATGTTGCATTAACCTACCTGTGCTTTCATGCCACCCTGATCACCAATCACCTGTTATTTCTTGTGGATCGGACACATATGACATTCCCCATGCCTCCCTAGAGCACAGTACTCTGTGCCTGAGCATCCAATCATTGAGTGAGGGTGCTGACATTTAAGGATGATGTGGGGTGTACGTGTTGACTTTGTCACTTGTTTTGGGGGGCTCCAGGAGTAGAATAGAGCAGCACTGGCATGGAAAAGGAAAGTAATGTGTGCTTATTTTGCCTGATATAGAATGAACCTTTAAACGTTCCCTCCCTATAACATAAAAAATCTTCACGTACTCCACTTCAGACAAGTTCAATAATAAATACGTAAGAGATGAATCATACATTTGAGACCTAGTTAATATCTCTGTCATTCACTCAGTCCACCCCATGTTCCTTCCTAAAGCCGTTAGTCAGATTGATTCATTCTTCTCTAGCGATCATCTACTGATTATTAAGGTGTTCAGCAATGTAAACTCTGCCAGCAAAAAAACACTTTAAATACTGTTTGGCTTTATCTGCCTGCTTGTTCACATACGGAAATAATGTACTTACTGAAACTGCAATACGGATATACCATCATAAATTGTGAAAAAACCATAATATGTATTAGGACCGTAGAGTTTCTTTAATAAGACTTCTTTTCTAGATCTCATCAAAGTGGATTCCTATGGTCAATGGCAATGCAGAGCGCAACTCTCGGTAAAGACACTTGTTTTAACACACTCCCTACTCCAACTGATATGTTATTCCTAAAAACAGGATCTATCTATCTATTTTGTATTCCATGCAGACTTCCCATAATCCTCGTAGGGAACAAATCAGACCTGCAAAGTGGCAGTTCCATGGAGTCCATTCTGCCCATCATGAACCAATTCTCGGAGATTGAGACATGTGTAGAGGTGACGATCTTGGTGTGAAATGTGCTGTTATTGTTAGGTGTAGAGGTTTAAGAGCAACAATCCTTATTTTTCACTTTCCAGTGTTCAGCTAAAAACCTAAAGAACATCTCCGAAGTCTTCTACTATGCCCAGAAAGCAGTACTACACCCCACCGCACCTTTATATGACCCCGAGGAGAAGCAGGTAAATGAAGCGATGCACTGTAGATAAAGAGAATATACAGAGAAATGTTTGTATTCAATATATATAATAAAACTAAAGTTCTATATGATGTTGACCTATATTTCCAGGTATAAAACTTTCTTATAACAGAAGGTAGCCACCCATCTCATTCTATCAAATATCGCAGAAATAAGAGGACTATTCCTAGATTTTGGGATAGCGGGCAGAGCCATGCAAATAATTCCTTTATGCCTCAATAGCTGACTGTACAGTTATAACCACTAGTGTATAGTACAAATACAGCCTAATATTATAAAGTTATTCCAAGCTACATACAGCTGCTTCAGGCTTGTTGGCCATCATCAGTGGCTTCAGTGGAGTAGGGCTTGACAGTATAACTCAAGGCTATGGTGAGTAGGAACTAAAAAAATGGAAAAGCCCTTCGCTGAACCAATGTGTAGCGCAGTAAAGCCTTTTTAGAATATAAGTTATTCAAGTCTTAGGCCCCTTTCAGAAAGGGGAAAATTATGTTTTGATTTGCCTGGTAAGCGCTCACAAATCCTCTACTCATTGGAGCAGAGCGGGCAGATGACACGTTCATGTCTTCTCAGTTTCTGCAGAGTGGACATTGACAAAACAAAATGACGGTTTATACCCAACTACCCTCTGATCCGCCTAAACAGAAGAGGATAGATCCCCTTCCGTTTCGTTTTCACAGACCGGATCGGGCCCGTAGGTAGGCAGGTGAAAACAGACACCAGCCAATTTACATCCGCCTGTCCATAGGGATACATGGACCATACAATCGGGAAAACCTGAAAAACTGACTGGTGGACGCAATGAAATCGCCTTTGTGAAAGCGGCCTTATTCCATCACATATCCTAAAAATGGCAGCGGAGGTCTTTTTGGTTCCTTTATCACCATAACCTTCTGGGTTATGCTTTCTCTTTCATGATTACAGGTAGGATCTTCTAGACACCATTCTCGTTCTCATAGCTACACAACTCGGCCTTGTTTGTGAGTTTACAGTACTATGAGTTTAGTGTATGAAATGTATTTCACTGGTGATTGGAGCTAGTGTTCTAGAACAGGCTTGTTCATCTGATGTCTTTCAGCTACAAGGCTGCAAATGATCTTACTTTGTTGATGCCCGAGTATAATTAATACTAATACATTGCCTGTTTTGTCTCTGTAGCTGAGACCGCAGTGCAGGAAAGCCCTGACTCGAATTTTTACTATCTCAGATCAGGACAACAACCAGATCCTGAGCGATGATGAGCTCAACTATTTCCAGGTATTATCCCAGGCCGTAATCTCATGTCTGTGTGATATGCTCACCTACTATTATCCACATTTGTTGTGCTTTTTTTTTTTATTGTTGTATCAAGGATAGGCCTGACCCTTTAAATCAGAATTTTAAACATATTGCATCTTTGTGACTATTCCCAGTCAGAGTACTCTTGATTATATCAATTAAGTGAAAATGGCAATCTTCATGAATAAAGTGCCCCACCACGTGTAAGTGAATTGCTCGCTTACCAGAACCCTTCGGCTAACAGAGCAGCCGGAAAACATAAAGAATCACAATCCAGGTCACATAATAACCATATCCAATCCGTCCATAGATATTAATTGCCAGCTCACATCCACCAAAGAAGAACAAATAATCCAGAGAGAAAAGACAAATAGTGAAGTTCGTTTTTAATAAATCCACAATAAAGTAAACTCAAAGGTATTGCGCTCACATAGAGGGGTGCCATGGAGAGGCTCCACACATTATCAGGAAGCTCAGCGCTTCTGGGCCGAATGTCACTTCCGGTCTTTGTGGAACGCATGCTGGCTCCTTGGCTATGAGCGGCGGTGTGAATTATAGGTCCTGATCAAGTAGGCTGGTTATGTTAGTGCCTCTCCCTGGCACCCCCCGATGTGTAAACCTTTGTGTTTATATTATTGTGGATTATTAACCACTTGCCGTCTGCCCTATATCAGATTCAATGCTGTTGGGCTGACATTCTCTGCAAAATGACATATATAAACCTGCCGCCTTATCCGCACTTCTGCTGTGATTGGATACAGCAGAAGCCATTCAACAGGTGCCGGCCAACGGATGAGCGACGGCACCTGTTCATCGCCGTAGAGAGTTTCCTGTGAATGTATAAACTACAAGTAGCATCAGCCACTGCAGCTGACAGCTTGTAGTTCTGAATGAACTGCAGGAGTGCTCATGAGCGCTCTTGTAGTTTGTTGTCAAGCCCTGCAGCTTTCAAACAGACAGCCCGGTACAGTTATGGACTGAAAGCTGCACGGCTTGTCTGCAGAAGCCTGACATTGCACCCTTGATCCGCTGATCACGGATGCAATGCTTTCTAGGCTACTGCAGGGAAAAATAATTGCACATTTTTTTTCTGCAAAAATATTTGCATTTATAGTTTTTTCTAAAACTGTCTGCCATTTAGTGCAGCTCTAGGGCCTCTGCTTAAAAAAATATATAATGTTTGGGGGTTCTAAGTGATTTTCTAGCAAAAAAAAAAAAGATTGTTTTCTGTGATCAAAAGGTGACAGAAAATCCTGGTCCTTAAGTGGTACCCGTTTTCTGTTATTTAAGCATTTGTGTATAATATGTGTCTTGTCTTTTGGGAGGTAGCAGTCCTGCTTTGGGAACCCACTGGCACCTCAAGCCTTAGAAGATGTGAAGATGGTTGTAAAAAAGAACACAGCAGATGGCGTACGGGACAACGGACTGACGCTAAATGGTAAGATTGATGGCACAAACTGAATGATGATGAAATGAAAGCTTAAGGATGTCATGAGTCCCCCCCAAACATAGATGGAATTTCTCAGCGTACAGCAATGCATCCCCCATGGACCTGGTGGGTGTTGCATGGCAGGATTGACAGCTTGGCTCTTGTTTAGCGACCAGTAGTATAAAATGTAAAACGTGCTAAATCCTAGTTATAGCAACTCACCGACTCCCATCACCTTCTGGTCACAATTGACATTAATAGACACAAAAAAACACATTGTGCTCCTGGATCCCCTTTTCTCCCTCCTGGAGAAGATGACAAGTCTCACTCACTTAAACGTGCATGTATTCAAATATCTCAAGTTCAAAGTTTACTTTCTGTAAGCAGCCTCAACATAAATATTATCTTCCTAGAGTTCTCATTATTAACCATTAGCCGCCCGGCCCAATGGCCATTTGGCGGCTTCAAAAGTGCTTCGGCATTCCGGGTGCACGCCATTTGGCGTCCTCCCGCACATGCGCAGTTTGCGCTAATGCAGAGCCGTGCAGCGGCGCGATCTGTCACTGGCCGTGTACCTCGGACACGGCCAATGACAGATCTGAGTACCTGCCCCCGTTGCTGGTACCATGTGACCTGCTGTGACCAATCACAGCAGGTCACATGACAGTTGTATACAATGGATGGCTTCATTCATGCCATCCATTGTATACTAGTGCCTAGCTGTGAATGGTCACAGCTAATCACATGCACATGTCATGTGATTAGCTGTGACCAAATCACAGCTAAGCACAAAAAAAAAAAACCCTGAATGAATCGATTTCATTCAGGTAAATGCTTGCTTATAGCAAAGTAATTCTTTGCTATAAGCAAATTGTGTAAAAAAAAAAAAAAAAAATACTGATCACTTCCCCAAAGTAGTACAATGTTACTATGGTAACATTGTACTACTTTGGTCATAGTAAAATATGAAAAAAAAAATAAAAAAAGTAATAAAAAATTAAAAATAAAAAAATATATATTTTTTTTTTTCATACTGTCACCAGTCAGTGTCCCTGATCACCGCCATGCCAGTTATATGATGACGCTGTACTGCACTGGTGACAGTATGTAAAAAAAAAAAAAAATAGTGAAAATAATTTTTTTAATTTTTTAATTTTCCAAAAAATTATGGCAAAAAAAATACTTCAAAAAACTCGCCATGCCTCTTATGAAGTACGTCGGACTGTCTACTCTGCAAAAAGGGGTCATTTGGGGATATCTGTACTGTTCTGACATTTGGGGGATATCTGTACTGTCCTGACATTTGGGGGATATCTGTACTGTCCTGACATTTGGGGGATATCTGTACTGTCCTGACATTTGGGGGATGTCTGTACTATTCTGACATTCTTGGACCTCAAGAAATTAGATTGGCCGTCAGTACTTCAGGATTGATCAATATTCAGATCTATACCATAGTTTGTGAACTCTATAACTTTCCTACAAACTAAATATTACATCCTAATTTGGGTTATTTTCACCAAAGACATGTAGCAGAATACATCTCGGCCTAAATTTATGAAGAACAATTATTTATTTGTAAACTTTTATAACAGAAACAAAGAAAAACATGTTTTTTTTTCAAAATTTTTGGTCTTTTTTTTGTTAATTTAGCAAAAAATAACCCCAGCGGTGATTAAATACCACCAAAAGAAAGCTCTAGTTGTGTGAAGAAAATGATAAAATTTTAGTTTTGGTACAATGTTGTATGACCGCGCAATTGTCATTCAAAGTGTGAGAGCGCTGAAACGTGAAAAATGGCCTGGGCAGGAAGGGGTAAAATTGCCCGGTATTGAAATGGTTAAACAAATGTGCTGTAATACATGGTGTCAGATAGCACATACTAGTTCCACAGCAGAAATGTGAAAAAACTAGCTAGCTTTTACATGTCCACATTTGAAACAAGAAAAGTCTTTTAGACCGATTTTAAATAAGAACTCAGGAGTTCTTTTAACCCTATGAAGGATAAATACCTGTGTAAGGCGGTAGAAGGGAGATATGAAAATGCTTTGAAGAGACTGTAAAATATTCTCCCAGCTATCCTTAGCAATAGAAATTCTCTCTCCCATCGAGACCTACATACCAAAGGAAACCTAAAAAGGAAACGATCTAACAATCCATGATAGGTGTCCGAAATCATTCCCTTAGTTGATGATTGCTCTTCACAGTGTTTGCTGTGGAAGCTGATTGGAAGAACTCGGTCCGTCACACACATCGCTTTTCTTATTTTTTTCTTTGTTTGGTTTTCCATTTCTACAATTTCTCTTCTCTTCAGGTTTTCTCTTTCTCAACACCCTGTTTATCCAGCGGGGACGCCACGAGACCACGTGGACCATACTGCGCCGTTTTGGATACGACGATTCACTGGAACTTACCGACGACTACCTCTACCCTCCGTGAGTTCCCATTCCTCATTTTCTATGCTGACTGTAAGTGATTTCCTTTCATCTACCTGTCTTTTCTCTCTGTTTAGATTTATTTCTGTTATCTTATTATGATTAGAATAATGTGTTACATTTCTAAAATTCAGAACTTGGAAATGCCAGGGGGCCCATTCATAACAGCAAAGTTGATTTTTGTTTTTGACACACATATGCTCCTTGTTTACAGTTTCTAGTAATGCTGAAGAAAAGTAGAAAAATTGTGGAAAAAGTTTTTTTTCAAAAAATCACATTGATTAAATAAGTGAAAATGGGGTGTATCTGAGAAGAGTAATTAATATACTAACACAACATGCTCCTATTTCACCCCTTCTTGCCTCAGCTATGGCACTCGAAAACAATGATTCTCTTAAAGCTGAACTTAAATGTTTGTTTTTGTCTAGGGCAGCCATTTTCAACTAAGGTTCTTCCAGCGTTGGCTATCAGTTCCTTGAGCTCTGGCCAACTGACTTCTGATCTGATTGTGCCTGCATAGTTCCACATCCAACGCCACTTGGCAGAGCCAGCTGCATGACTGCAAGGGTGTCATTCCGGCACCCCTATAATGGGGGAATTCTCACTTACCACCACAAATAAAAGGGGCTTTTCCCAGCGACCACTGATGGACTAATCTTACTAGGGATTCCAGGAGATCTTCAAAATTACTCCAAGGGTCCCTCTGGGGTAAAATGGTTGAGAAAGGCTGGTCTAGACCATCATTAAAAAGCAGTTTTCCCCCAGTTGTCTTCCATGACAGCCTATGAGATGTGGAGCTCCCCCACCGCCCAGGAAACACATTGCCATTAAACAGTTCAAAAAAAGGTCCTCCAGGCCCCTTGCTCAGTTTCAGTGTTTCCTACGGAGGAGGAGATATGATAAGAGAAGGTTTCCCTTCAGTGAGGATCCAGGCCTGGTATGGAGCAAGTGTCCTAAGCTAGATGTCCCCCTCTATAAAGTTTCCAGGAAAGCTGATTTGCCAGTGAAGGATATGGGGTCCTACAGATAAGAGGGGGGAGAATCTGCTAGGATTCCACCATTTCTAATCTCAGACCTGTTTTAACCATGACTTGTCTGGCTAGGAACTTGGAGTTTTGGCGTATGCAATTACAATCACACCTAGCAGCCGTAAAACCTTGAAAAGAGATTTCGCTTCCAAGTTGCAGCTCTGTGGTCTTCCATTTTCTGGAGGTCAGCTGTTTGGACTGGATCTTCAGGCAGCTCTGGAATGGATGGCAGATAAGAAGGCCTTTCCAGTTTTACTTGCCTTATTCTTTCCTCTTCCCTCCCAAAGCACTGGGTTGTGGGTGGGGCCTCTGAGCTCTCACTTTCAATGCAAGACTGCTGGTCCTGCATTATACGTGATGACATCAGAGAGCAGCTTCTGTGGACTGGTAGCATGAAATGAGAAGCCTGGGGGAGCAAGGGATAAGGTAAGTGCTTTTCAATGATGCCCTAGACAAAACAAGCACTTAACCCCTGCATTGTGGCCTTTCCACGCTTAAAACATATCTAAACCCAAGAAAAAAAATGTACTTATTGTTGCTAACCAGTCCTTAGATGTGTAAATAGAAAAAATGCAGCGATAATTAGAAAATATAATAATGTCCAAAATAAAGTCCATATAAATCCTCAAACAGATGAAATACAAGAGAAAAATCTTGATTTTATAAACCGTCACCATACACCCGGAAAAAATCACCGGACACTTTGACTGTATATCACCGGTCAGTAAGCGCAGTGTGTTAAGGAATCAGTATGGCAAATAATCTCCAGTAGATATCCTCTACCGGGTACAGGATAATAACTCCGCTTTCAAAGATCTCTAAACCGGACACTTTCACCATATAACGCCGATCAGTAAGCGCAGTGTGATGGGGAATCAGTATGGCAGGTAATCCTCAATAGAAAACTTCTTGCAGATAAAAGATAATTTCTCCACTCTGAATCTTTTCAAACCTTAAAAAATCTCCCATCCGACAATCAGATAAGGGATAAAGAACAAAGGCAACTCATAGTGCATTAGTATAAATGTAGGCAAATTTATTAAAAGATCCACGTACATGAAGACTTAACCACTTCCTGTCCGGACACTTTCCCCCCCTTCCTGTCCAGGGCAGTTTTCAGCTTTCAGCGCTATCACACTTTGAATGACAATTGCGCGGTCATGCAACACTGTACCCATATGAATTTTTTACCATTTTTTTGAGACAGATAAAGCTTTATTTTGGTGGTATTTATTCACCGCTGGGATTTTTATTTTTTTTGCTATGTAAATGAAAATATCCAAAAAATGTTTTAAAAAGTGTTTTTCTTATAAAATTTTGCAAATAAATACTCTTTCATCATAAATCTTGGCCAAAATTTATTCCGTTATATTTTTAGTAAAAAAAAAAATAAGCCAAATTAGTTTATAACCAAAAATTATAATTTTTAAACATTTTTTTTACATTTTTTTTTTTTTTTTTTTTTTGTACATACTATCACCCTAGCAGTACAGTGTCACCATGGTGGTGACACTGTACTACTTGTGGGGGTGATGAAGATTTTTTTTTTTTTTTTTTTTTACAGTGATTGCTTTTACACCCATATAGGATGTAAAAGCAATCATTTCTCTTTCTCTCTGGCTGCATTCTTGCAGCCATTGAGAAATACTGAGTGAGCTGTGATTGGTCACAGCTTGTCACATGGTGCAAGGCTGTTGTGAATAGCCTTGTACCATGTGACCTCTGTGATCATTCACAGATTTCACACGTAGTAAGCAATGATGTCACAAGTGACATCTTGCTTACTACTTTGCATGTGATCACTGATTGGCCTATCAGTTATCACATGATCGGGACCTCGTACAGAGGTCCCGTCCGACGATCGGTGTTTCACTGTGTCCGGAGGACACGGCGGGCACCGGATCGCGGTGCTGTGTGCGCCCAAGGAGCGCGCACAGCTAGAAAAGGCGGTTGCCGTTCGTGAACGGCAACCCGCCCCTGGAGTGCCACCGCCCTGCCGTTTATAAACAGCAGGCGGACGGCAAGAGGTTAAAATAACCAGCATTGAATGAACAAAGTTTAAAACCAAGAACATGGCCGCCGTCTCTCCAGAACGCGGTGACATCACACGCCGAAGTTCCACCCAATGTCTTTAGATATACTGGGGGACAGTTACTAAAACTGGCGCACTCAGAATCTGGTGCAGCTGTGCAGGTAACCAATCAGCTTCTAACTTCAGCTTGTTCAATTAAGCTTTGACAATAAAACCTGGAAGCTGATTGGTTTCTTTGCAGAGCTGCACCAGATTTTGCACCATGCAGTTTTAGTAAACAACCCTCAATAGCTGAACTTTTTTTCCTTTATTTTCACCTAATGTTCCTGCCAGTAACACACTTCCTGTCCTAGAATGACCACACTCACTGTTCTGTATCTGAGGAACAGCATTGCCACTAAAACAATATGGTAGTGTGACAAGAACACCCCTACCTAAAAAAGCAGGTTACTAGATGATCCACGCGGAGTAATATGAATTCAAAAGAATTTTTAACAATACTTTATTTGATCACATAGATCATAGGGAGGTTAAACATAAGCACGGTGTACATATGAAAAAAATAAAATCATGTTAAAAAACACTTAGCGTCTTCAATTGAAAACCCTAAATTGAAGACGCTAAGTGTTTTTTAACATGATTTTATTTTTTTCATATGTACACCGTGCTTATGTTTAACCTCCCTATGATCTATGTGATCAAATAAAGTATTGTTAAAAATTCTTTTGAATTCATATTACTCCGCGTGGATCATCTAGTAACCTGCTTTTTTAGGTAGGGGTGTTCTTGTCACACTACCATATTGTTTAGTATGTAGTTTTTGGGTTTTTGTATCCACACTTATACAAGTGAGTCGGAGATATGCTAATGACACCGGCAATTTGTGTCATTTTTGGTGGCCTGTTTTTGCTTTATTGTTGTGAACAGCATTGCCACCCTGGGACAGGACTGCAGAACACCTCCCTCCCTCTCTCCTCTTCTCTAAAACTGTTCTGTAGTACACATATGATAACTGGAAAGGCAGATCCCTTTTTTGAGATTTTAGTTCCACACACAAAACATAACAGGGATACACGATTTCTGGCAGACTTTTTAAACTTGCAGAAACTGTAGTTAGCCTGAAAAAAAAGAAAACGAATGCAGCCACTACAGCTAAGGACAGGTAAGCTGCAATATATTACATTCTTCTTGAGTTTAGATATACTTTAATATTCGCCTCCACAAACCATCATGTCAGTAACAACTCACCTGAGGAATCGAGCTATGCTAAGGTAGGTCAGTTCTTGCTTTTGCAAATCATTCTCTTCACCTCTATTTTCTCATGAGGTCTAGACGTTTTGTGTTATCCCGCTACCCTTTGTACTCTTCCCAGAGTTATAGGCAGAACAGGACTTTCCTCGTGTAGTATTTTATTAAGAATAAATGTTTAAAACTCAACTTTGGGACAACTATTTTTGTCTGGGTGAGAAGAGAGTCCCATTGGTCAGCTCTGTCACGTGACCATGCTGAGCAATGACCATGAGCCACAACCATGCTGCTTATACAACTTCCAGGGCTGTGTACGGAGTTAAGGCCTCATGCATACGGGTCCTGGAGCCGTATTCTGTGAAGGGGTCGTTTGCTTCAGCGTCTCTAGGCTGCGGATGCTGCGTGCAGGCAGCCTATTGACGTTTACTAGTACACAGGGGCTGCATGGACACAGCCACCAAAGATGTGCATGATGCAAAAATATGTTTTTGGATTCATTTGTTAAAGCGGAGCTCCATCCAAAAGGGAAATACTGCTTTAAGGCCTCCCCCCCACTCCTAGTTAGGAATTGGCACTTTTGGGGATCGGGTACTTGATTTTGACAGGTACTCGCTCCCACTTCTCCCACTTCCGCTTCAACCACCTAGGTCAGGGGTAGGCAACCTGCGGCTCTCTAGCTGTTGTGGAACTAC